ATGAACAATGGGAGCTAATGGATGACATCTTTGTTTTTTTTTTTTTTTTTTTTTTTTTTTTTCTAATTTATGATATTTTATCATTTAATTTTTTTTTTTTGTTTTTTTTGTATGTTGTTTTGTCATTATTCTAGTTCATCGTTCCGATACCTTCGATCAATTTTCGTTGCATAAATAATGGCCATGTTCACTACTTATCATTTCAACACTCTCATTCAATTATTTGTAAATAAATATAACTAGCAATAAGTAATTCAATCAAGATTAGTAGATAATTGAGTCTATTATTTAGAGAGATAAGATATCATTTGGTATCTCTTAATATTGAAGAGATATCAATCACCTATCTGTTTGCTCAGGGGGTGGCCATAACTTATGAAACGTACTGTAGTAGAGAGAGAGAGAAGAGAGAGAGAGAGGAAAGAGAAAGCGATCAGAGATGCAATCCCACATTGCAAATGGTCAGAGAAGACTGCATCTATCCACAGTTGGACAATCAATCTGAGACAGATGATGGTCAACACTGACTGTACCGAAGAGGAATTGGCCAATCACATGGGTCAATTGTTTGACGAACCAGATCGTACATGGTACTACTTGCTCAATCCCAGACCTGTCACAGTACAAACTTTGTTGGAAGCCATGAACACAAGATTCGACATTGCTAGCAAGAACATAATGTTGAGAACAGAGTTGGAGCACTTACATCAGAATGGATCACCCATTGCCAACTTCAACTCTCGATATGGAGAAAAGGAGCACACGTTGAACATGAGTGAAGAAGAGAAAGTGTTCCATTACACCAGCCGTTTGGACCCAGAGATCCGTGTCCTTACTCTCATGATGCATCCAGCAAACCTTGCACAGGCCAAGAGCAAAGCAGTCGAGGTGTCTACTTCTCTTGGATTGGGAAAGAAGATCAAGTTCACTTCTTTCAGTAGTCATGCCAACAACAACAGCAATAACAACAACAATAGTAGCAACAACAACTATAGTAACAATAACAATAATAATAATAATAATAACAATAGTAGCAACAATGGCAACAATCATTCCTTTCGCTCCAATCAGCACTACAAGAAGCCAAGGTCTGACAACAAGGAGAGGACAGCACTCCCCTTCTACAAYGCCAAGTGGTCAGAGGAAGACAGAGCCAAAGCTATCGCCACAGGCAAATGCTTCCAATGCCAGTCCACAGAGCACCGTGTKGCCGACTGTCCAGAGAGACAAAACAAGAACAAGTGATAAGACACAACAGCAAACAGTCACAATCAGCAACATCACTACTATTCAATCAAATCAATCAACAAATAATAATAATACAGCAACAGATGCAACAGTAAATAAACAACMAACAATCACAAAGTACCAAGTGGGTAATCAATCACTAGAGAGTGATGATGGAGTTGATACTCTATATGATGACATCTTGATAGATGTTTCATTCGATGAGAAGGATGTTGAGACATTAACTTCTGATAAATTGAACAATGGGAGGGTTGAGACTCATTCACACAAACAACAAAGTAATACAAACAAACAGATAAAGAAACATGAACAGATAGAAGAGGTTGAGACCTCTACAGAGATTGAGATCTCTAACACAGACACAGATTCAGTACAGAGCGAGAAGGTTGAGACCTCTACAGAGATTGAGATCTCTAACACAGACACAGATTCAGCACAGAGTGAGAAGGTTGAGACCTCTCCAACTCAAACACAGCAGACCAATGAGTACAAGGACAAGGTTGAGACCAAGTCACCAAACAATCAATCATTAGATAATGATACAAAGGTTAGAGAGCCGACTGTCAAGGTTGATACCAAGACAAACATTAACAAAGAGTTGACACTCGATGTTATTCCAATCAAGATAGATAAGAGAGTTGCCTCAGCAATCGTCGATACAGGGGCCAACTACTGTCTCATTGATCCATCAATTATTGCAGACATGAAGATCGATATCAGCAACAAAGAGACATTCAATATACAGTCACCAGTGTTTGAGAACACTTCAACAACAAGTAATCAGTCAGTCAACTTAGAGATAGATATCAACAATCACAAGTTCACAATGTTGTTCGTTGTCACACCTATCAGAGCGATATATAAGGTGATCATTGGCAACAATAAGGCAGCTGAGACAGCAGCAAGAGAATGGATGCGAGCAAGGGAATTGGAGAGTCAGTTTATGGAAGAGTTCAGTGACGTCATTGTGGATGAGATCACCACTGGATTGCCACCAGCCAGATCAACTGACCTTAAGTTGAAACTCATTGATGAGAACAAGATCATGCGTGGTTACCCTTATCGCAAGTCACCCAAACAGCAAGAGGCAATGGATCAGATAACCAAGCGACTGTATGAGAGAGGTGCCATCATTCCATCGACAGCAGCACATGGATGCACAGCCAATGTCATTTGGAAGAAAGATGGACGACCAAGACTGATCATTGACTTCAGACCAGTAAACAACAACATTGTCACAGCAACAGACAATATACCAAGAACAGACGACATCATCAATCGATTTCAATCCAACAAGTGGTTCACAGATGCAGATATGATTGATGGTTATTGGCAATGTCGTGTCTCACCAGAGAGTTCATTGAACCAATACCTGGACGATTTAATCTAACAGACATGGCTGTGTCATTCGCGAAGCTGAACTTCTATTTATTTTTTTTGATTTTCCATTTTTTTTGTTGTCTTGTCTACTTGCTGAATGGCTGCTGTCTATTTTTCTGAATAGCGCTGTCCACAGAGATAAATAGATACAGATATGAACCTAGATAATATATTTGCAGCAGCAGATTGTCGCAGGGCAGTAGAGATGCATGTTGGTGATGAGAAGGTACACGATTCCGAAGCCGAGGACATTGAAGAGACAGAAGATGTGATGCTTGAAGCGTCACCTCTCTTTAAAGGTCTTACATTGAAACCAGTGCAGCAAGTTGTCAAGCTGACATCCAAAACAACACTGGAGATTCAAGACCTGTACCGTGACTGTCAGCCCGAGATCACCGAGGAAACGCACGACAGAAAAGGAAGGAAGAGGAAGATCAGTTACCTCGATAGTATCGTTCTCTTGTTGGCGCTCTACACAACTGCGTCCAAGATCCAAGTACTGGCAAGCATGGTCACTGGATGGTCGGCCTCAACAGTCCACGACTCAATCTGCATCGCCCGGAAGCTGGTGTTCAATATGTTCAAGCGCCGCGAGAGTGACGAAGTCAACATACCTCGACCAATGACATCTTTAGCCGACAATCCCAATGACATCGGTCTGATCCAGTGTTTGAGACCGAGTTCGGATATCCGACTAACCGAGACCGAATAAACCGAACCGGACCCTTTTACCAATCCGAAGGAAGTTCAATTATTCGAACCGACCAGCTGTTTTTTTAATCAAAACCGGATCGAATAACCGAGGGTGAGACAGTGCATTTTCACTCTAGTGAACAACACAAGTCTCATTTCTTTGAAACTTAAAATAATAGTATTGATAGAAATGACCAAATGGCTTCCTTTGGACATCTTCTTGATCCTAATGATTATCAACCACAGACAGGCATTGTTAGTAGTGGACTAGTCTTGGTTGGTTCAATATCATGTTTCCATCCAATACTGTACTTCTTTGTAGTCTCTGTTGAAGTTGATGATGTCACCTTGGTGGATGTTGTTGTTGTCTGGGTTGAAGCAGGATGATGAAACAATCAGTTGCAGGATACATGAAGCTCTAATTGGAGACGAGATATCGAGGAAAACAAAAGCCTTTTCGATGAATCAGATCAAAAAATAACATTTTTGTCTTACTGAGTGTACATACTGTACGTATTCATGAGCAGTGTAGTACCGGTTAATCGGTTTTCCGGTCGAATATCGGTTAAAGGCGATATTCGGGTAACCGAGCTCGTTTTCAATCTTGGATCATCCACACGACCGAGTAAGGAATTATTCGAACCGAATGATATTGATATCTCGTTTATTTGAACCGAGTAGTATAATTTCTCGGTCTCAAACACTGGT